GGGAGCATGCAGGTACATATTGGTGTCAGTACCAGGTGTCTATGTCAGCAGTGGAATCAGAGAAGAGTGATCCTGTGGAGCTGGTGCTGACAGGTGAGGGCACTGGGGACAGCAGATGGCTCTGCTTGCTCCCAACAGGACCGTGTCCCACTGCTGTCCCCTCCCTCATGCAGATCGCAGATTCCCCCCACCCAGCATTTCCCTGAGCCCTGAGGAATGTGTGGAGACAGGGACCAATGTCTCCATCCAGTGCTGGAACAAGGACTATGGGGCCGCCTTCCTCCTGCACAAGGATGGGTGCTCAGCCCCCATCCAACGCCAGGATCTTGATGTGGTGGGCACAGCCACCTTCACCATGATTGGGGTGACCCCAGCTGACAGTGGCACCTATAGGTGCTCCTATCGCCCCTGGGCTTACCCCTTTCTGTCCTCACCCCTTGGGAGTAATGTGACTCTGGAGGTGACACCCACACCTGCACCCCAGGTGAGTATCAACCCCATTTTGGTATTCCAGGTTCCACCCATGAGTGCTGTGTCACCTCCTGTCCCTATAGAGGTTGTGGTTGAGGATGTGATAACCCAAACACCCGGATCCCACAGGTGCTGCAGACAGTTCCCATGGGAACCTGGTGGTGGCAGTGGCTGGGGGCTGCACTGCTGCCTTTGTCTTCATCCTCGTCCTTGTTGTCTTCTTCCTCCTCGGTGCCTGCAGACGTCAGATACAGAGAGATGAGTGCCCTGGTGGGGAAGGGTTTAAGCGTCTTTATTTCTCAGTTGACCCTCTCAAAGTCTCCACTTACCCCCATAGCCCCATCCCATTCTCCTCCTTGTTTTGATGCAGGCACCCCTGCAGAAAGGCCTGAGGACATGGAATTCCAGGTAAGTGTCCCGGTCAGGGAACCCCAAACTCGGGCCTGACCTTTGGAACACCTCCTGATCCCCTTTACAGCCCCAAACCCTGTCCATGGGGATCCCAGGGGATCCACAGCCTCATATGGTTTGCCTTAATGTTAAGCACAGCCCCCAAACCCAGACCATGAGGAACTCCAAATCCGCATTGTGGAGACACCCAAATCTGAGCCCTCAGATCCACCTGGCCCCTCCAAAACTTAAATACCCCTCAGACCCC